CTTCTCAGTCAAAAGAAGGTCTTGGCCTTCTGCACGTGCAGAGAAAGGCTGTACCTCCATGGCCTGCAGTCTTGGCCAAAAAACCACAGATGGTTCCCCAGTGCCGCCCTGTGTTGAAAATACATAACTACATGGACAAGTCCTTTTATGTAAGAGTGTGCTCTAGGAAATAGTGTATGCCTGGTTTACATGCGAAACAACAGCTATGATCTGTTGCTGCAGTTCATACAAAGCAAAGCATGGGTTTGGGTTTTTTTAATCACAGGTCCTTCACTAAGAGGTACACTGCTAAAGACTTTCATTACACTGCTGAATAACGGAACGGGATGTTGATCCTATAGTAGTATGATATTTACATGCAGTCCCAGCAAATGAGGTAGGAATGGCAGTAGATTTAGCTAAAGAATATGGAAAAATCAAGTGACATTTGGCAGCAAATCATACAAGCAGTATTTATCATCAGTAATTTATTACTCAAAAGGAAGAGTATGTAAACAATGTATTTAATTTACCCAGTAGTAATTGTGGTGCCAGATATGCTTGTGTAGATAAGGATTTTGGCTAGCAACAGTTTGTATAAATACAAATAACACTTAGTGATAGCTGATTTAGAAAGACCAGTCTTTTCTTAACTTGTAACAAACCTATGCATCTACTGTTTGAGCTATAAATAAAAGGAAATTTAAACGATAAACATTCATGATAATGTTGAGAAAATATATTTAAATTTTCCCATAATCTCTGCATCATTGTTATTCATATTCCTGCCTGTAGTCAGAATTGTAAATACAATTTCCCACTATCTTAATTAACACCTCTCATTAACCTGGTATGTCTGTACAAGGAGAATATTTCACCATATACTTGAATGGTTTCACAGCTGCTGGAAGCCTGTTCTGGTTGTTTATGATAATTCTGTTAGGGTAAGAAATGTACCAGTATGTAATCATGTGCTGATGCACGTACATCAGGTGCCTTGTAAGCACTTCTTCTATCACAAGTTCTAAAGCAGTTTTCCCTGAACATAACAAACAGGAGATCTTTTCTCTGGCCAGTCTATAAACTACAAAACTATCAGTGTTTGCTACTGAGCTGACTAAGGGGAATAATTTTGTAATACTAGAAGAACGATTAACAACAATGCACGTGGGACAGAATCTTCCAAACTTTCTGTTTATAGTGCAAGGTAGACATCTTTTATTACGTCCTGGAACTCATCCTGGGGTAGCTCTTCACTAAGTTATTTTCTCTGGTGATAAAGCAGCACTGATTCTCATTTGTGCTTGCTGCCTCATGGGCTGCTGTCACAAGCAGTGTTTGCAAGAGCTTAGAAATATCTGGTATATGCCTTTTCCCACACTGCACTTTCCTTCTCAATCACAGAGCAAAGACATTATTAGCTTCTGCACAACCCTAGGTATACAGGAGTCCCTCCTGTAGTCAAGAAAGCAACATTTACATGATCTATGAACTAGACCATAATTTTCTGTTGAGAGCAAAGTGTGCCACTTTCACACTGTCATTAATAGCACCATTGAATCGAGTTCATTGTAAGCCAGCTATGCTAATCCTGCAGATACTACCTTGTTTCAATAGCTGAAGAACGAATGGGTTGAGAGTAGTCACTTCCTCCCTTCAGCATTAGCAGGCAAACAAGGTTACTAACATCAGTTTCCAGCATCTCAGCAGATAGAAGATACTTGGTGATCATTATCCTACATTCACAAACATCCAGATCTTTCTGAAGAAAAAATTAGAGAGGATTTATGAAGTCTATTTGGTACAGCTATTCACACAGGGTACACAACACAGATCTCCCATGCATCAGCTACTCTGTTACAAGTGTGCTCTTATTGCAGGTAGGGGTGATGCACTTTGAGCAGAGGCTGCTAGCTCAAAGATTCTCAGCATCTTGAAGTGAAATTCAGTTTCTCAGAATAAAAATGCAAGAGCTGGAAATATCAGTTATAATTTACATTTAGAGGTCCAAACACAGCTGTCTGAAATGCTTGGTAGTAGTGTAAATTACAGACCATCCACCAGAGGGAAGCTCATGCATGCATACAAAGAAAATTAAATCATGAAAAGGATGACTGAAACACACCCCTAACATATAAAAATCAAATTCTGTTTTAAATGTTTTGTTAGCAATAGCGCAGACTTCTTGAGCTTGGAAAGTTTTCAGAAGTTATTCACCAATCTCAAGGTAACACAGAAAGTTTGGCATGTTAATGGCTGAATTGTTACACTACACATATGTATGCACACAAAAAACTTCAGATTTAGATCTTTTTGTTTATAAACACAGAAATGCAGCCTAATTTCACTGCTGTTAATAGAATTAGACCAGAGTTTATGTAGTCAAAAGTCCAACTGTGTGTTCATGCATTAAAAGCCCCACCCACATTTGCTCACTAGAATGAGTAAGATACTGAGTTGTTCAGCCACTGGCATGTTCAGCATGTAATTTAACATACTACACTGCTCATGTTATGAATGGAAATATTCGTTAAATTTGCCATAACGTTCATGTGCTACTAGTGTAAATTTGACAAGTAATGGTCGGGCACTTCTGGAGAGTGTTAAAAACAGCTTACCCACAGTCTGAAGTTTTCACAGAGACCCAGCAGTCAGAGCTCTTCAGAGACATGCTTTCTAGCTAATATTAACTCTAATACCTGTGATATTAAGTCTAATAGCCTGTGTTCAGGGTCTTACACAAGGAAGTCTTAGCATTTCAACATCTGTCTAGGATTTTTTTTTTCGAAACAGACTTCCAGGCTGTTGCTGAAATTCTGCTATTCCTTTGTTTTCTTGTTTAAATGAAAGATACAGCCAGAAGCAGAGGTCATCTGGCAAGCAAACCTTGATGAAGTGGAGAAACGCATTTCTGAAAAATTAAAGGACAGATGCTTCAGAAGTTCAACCAGATCCATACACCACCAAATTAGAACTATACTAATACCAGCACAAGAGTTGTACAGACAAATGTTCGTTGCCACCAAAAATAAAGTTCCAAAGAGGAAAATCTTAGAAGTGTCACAGGAAAATACAAGTTTTCTTAGGGATCCTTGGTAGCACAAGAGTTGTAGTTACAATTAGAACGTTACTATGACATAAAAAAATTAATTATGGCATAGCTGATTGTTATCTACAATTTCTAGCAGATAGCATAGCTTATTCCTACACAGAATTCTGAGCAATTATAGCTTTCAGTTAAGCAGAAAGTCTAATGATCAGTACAGCTTCCTTACAATCCAGAGTCTTTAGTTACCGAGGCTTTTAGTCATGTGGGCCTTCTGTAAACTAGGTCAAATTCTCAAGAACAAGTGTGTGATACAATAATAATAATAATCTAGATTGAGAATTTACCTAAAAGAACCTGCCTGTCCTGTAGCATTGGGGGACAGAGATACTGGGCATCTCCCCTTGATTTTATTTTTTTCTAATGAAAATCTTCAACTTAGTTCAATCTCTACATGCCACTGCCAATAAAGGAATACAGAGCCCTTCGAAAGTTACTTCTGGAGAAATAATGAAGTGTATAAAGGTGATTTCCCTAGAAGAAGAGACATTGCCCATCACTTCTCTTTGTTAGTTGATTTTCACAAGTGGTTTTCAGAAATTCCCTTCGGAGTACAAACTACTGGTTTGTTTTTCTCCCCTACCCAATCGGTATTAAATGTAGTTAAATTAAAAGGAACTGGAATCATGTAACAGATTAAATCAAAATTAAAATATTTATTACGCAAATAGCATTTTGAAGAGATAATACTTGGATTTAGTGGAGTTATTGTGGACTTGCTTTTGATCTCATTATAGTCTTATGAGATCAAAACCAGCTAAGCTTATTTGGGTTTTGCAACCCTTTTTCCATGGTGAAAGATACTTTTCAGTTTAATATTATGCACTACATTTGCCAGGTTTGTAAAATTCTACCTCAGCACTTAGGGAAATAATCTGTAATGCATCAGAAATTTGAGAGCACTGCACGTAATTTCTTCTGTGAATCTTTTTTTTTTTTGGAAAATACCCATCCAGTTTCACTTCTGTGACTCTTGACCATTTCTCTGTGTGCTGCTAGTTTAGTTCCTCTTTTAACTTTTTAGAAATTAACGTCAAAAGAAAATGTTTTGATGGCAAAATATTTTCATTTTCTCTAGCCAGATACTGAAGAACTTAGCACAGGATTTACCAAGTTGCTTAGGAGATAAAGCCATAGCCCATTGCTGGTTCAGAAGGACAATGTAATAATGTGTTTTCTCTCTGACACAGAGCATTTACTCCTATAACCCTATATCCAGACTATGCTGATGGTTACTGTTTGGCTAAATGACTGCAGTTGCCAAGAGCATTAGAAATACAACTCCCTCACACTTTATTGTACCAGCAGTGTCTCACTGTAGGAAAATGTTGACTTCCTTTATGCCAGCATATTTCTAAAGCATGTTCAACTGTTTTCTGCTGAATTAAAAAGAAGATGACATGAAGGTACATATTTTATGCTTTGGAATAGAATTTCATGTCAAACATAATGCACATTTGTGATTTGTCTGCCACCCCTCTTTTCTGACTTTCATAAAGTGTTAAGTTATTCATACGAATGAGTAGAATAGCATAAAGAGGGGTGCTTTCTCCTCACAGCTGTTGATTAGATCAGCAGTTTGAAAAAAGTAGCAAGCTTCTTTTGGAAGACCACCAGCATGCTAAAATCTGCTGAAGTATGATGGGTGTATAACTAAAAGCAAAGTCAGATGCTGCACTGTGTTTTTATTTTTGCTTTGTATGCAGAAATGCACAGTCTTCCTGAACAACAGGAACTACCATATGTGGTCAGATGTTTGTAAGTGTGAGCATTAAGACATGAGCTCATGCACCATATTAGTCTTCAGAAGACCAGTTAGAGAACTTTTGAGTAGTTCACTAACACCTACAGAGTAAAAGCAGGGCACAAAGTACCATATATATTGGCAACCAAGAAGAACTGAAGAATTTCCAGCATGAATCAAGCTGAGGAAAGCAGTATGCACTCGATGTGGAATATTGTGAGGTCAGTAGTCTGCATAATACTAAGCTTGTCATTTATTATTGGGACCCCTGGAAATTGTATCGTCATCTGGACTGTTTGTACCAAAATGAAGCAAGCATCTCCTTCAGTCCTGCTAATTTTGAACCTGGCCGTTGCAGATGTCCTTGTACTGATTACTTTACCAATTTGGATTTACTCCTTTGCTGACTCATGGGTTTTTGGAGTCATCTTCTGCAAAGTACTGGTTTTCATTATTTACTGCAGCATGTATGCTAGTATATTTCTAATTACAGCACTGAGCTTGGAGCGGTTAATGGCTGTCTTCTACCCTTTCACCATTCAAAGATACAAAACAAAACAAAAGATTGCTTTAATCATGTTCCTCATTTGGTTTCTGTCTATTACTTTTGGCATTTCTGTCATTCCATTTCAAGAGACAGAAGAAATGAATGGTCAACTACTATGCACATGTCGCAACTACTCTTCTAATGGACAGAAAGTGTCATATCTTTTGCTGGAGTCTCTTGCAGGTTTTGTAATCCCTTTTTTAATTATTTGCATTTGTTACATGTGTGTTGCAAGAAGAATAAGCAGAATGACTTACCAATCTAAGCGGCGATCAGAGCGGCTCATTGCCAGTGTTGTGGTGGCATTCATTTTATGCTGGTTCCCTCATCATCTCTTTAACATCCTAGATATTATTTCAGTTCACATAGAGGTCTCTAATAAGGAAATGTCTTTGGCACTGGATGAAATTGTAGACAGAGGAGTGTACATCTCTGGAGCACTTGTATTCATCAGTAGCTGTATTAACCCTCTACTTTATGCTTTTGCTGCACGAAGATTTCAGAATCACCTGAGATTTACCACGATATCCAAGCTGTTTGAACAGATGAGTCAGACTGTAACAGAGGAAGACAAGAGAAAAAGTGTGGTTTTAACCAGACAAGAAGATGCTTTAGTAAGCACAGAAAATCTCTAACAAGGAATATAGAACCCTAATGAATAATGTGATTCTGTGTCCTTCCTTCAGTAGTCCTTTCTCCTCATACTCTCAGTTTCCTTTACTAAGCAGTCCAGGCAAAGCTAGAGACAAGTAAAAGTTTTCAGGGTTTATTTTGTGTATTATAAAAGAATTGGCATTGACAACCTAGTTCAGTTCTTAAGTTAGTATTTCCATCCTGAAATTAGTACTGGTGCTGAGAATCTCAGCAAGGTGGCTAGAAGATCAAAGTGTAAGGAATACAGCATTTTCACTTTCCATTAAAATTATCTGTGATTTCTAGAAAGCCTGTGTGCAGGAAACTGAAAAGGACTGTGTGTGGAAAACAGAAGCTTTGAAAGTTTAAAACTAAGTTTTCATTCAGAAAAAAAACTGTTAGATGATCAAAAATGCTTATAAAATCTAAAGTTTTAAGAGACCATAATTAAATTCCTGTTATGAGTGAGATTGTTTTTTTAATGGCACAAAACTTTTTGGTAGATGAAAACTAAAGTTATTCATTGCTGAATTTAGGTTTGAAAGTAGTAAGGTTGTTTTCACAGTCAAGCTCATTTACTGAATTATGTTGTCTTAATAGGTTTTAACAAGTATAATGTGAAATGTGACATGACTTTTCAAAAAAAAAAACCAACCAGGTACAAGAATTCTGTGTTGTATAGCAAACAGATTTACGGATTTCATGCTTTACTTTGATGTCATACGCATTCCCTGCTTCAGTGGCAATTAAACTTTTGATGTATTATATATATATATCCTATGACTATCCACAAAAGGTTTGATTCAGTTAAGTTTCCAAGATGTCTGTTAAATTATGGAGGAATTGTGTCAGGCTCTCGTGGGAGGGAAGGTGAGAATCTTCATATTATTTTTTATGGGTCACAGAATTATGGTAGCAGTACAAAGTGTCAAATATCAAAAAACTTCACCTTGCAAATAGAAGCATTATTTTTTCTTCTCTTGTGGAATAGAGTGAATAAGAAACCAGTAAATTTAGCACTGGCAAGGACCTTGTTTTAGTTTTGTGAATGCGTGCAAATTCACTGTGGAAAAACATGGCATCAGGTGGTGGCTTTTGAAGGTTTTATTTCAGTTGTGCCTAGCATTCTTTATGCTTACTCTTGCTTATTTTTGAGGCAGTAACTTTTAGTTAGGTAAAGATAACTACTGATTACTAAGAAACATTGTAATTTCCTGTACATTGTTCTGGACAGCTGCTGAATAGCTGTTACTCATCTTTACAAAGAAACCACAAATACTAAGTAGAACTTAATTTTCAAAATCTGATTATGTAGCAACCAAGGATATTCAAGTTGTATTAATTTAGCTCATAAATAAACATGTGGAAGTAAAATCCTTACCTGTTAATGCAAGAATATTTCTCTAAGCTTTGCTTACATATTGGTTATTGTCGCCTGTTATGAAAAAGTAATTTTTTTCTTTTCAACAGGAGGGAAGTCCACACCACAGAGGGCATCCCATCAATAGGACTCTCTCACTGAAATTCAAGTAAACAAAACTTTGGCAAGACTTTGTTTGCAGCAGAGTTAGCAAATGAAATCCTGTAAGACTTTACCCCATCCACCTACTGTTCTTTTTCCACCCCACTAATGACTCTTTAAGTGTTATTAGTATATCCAATATAGCAATGTGACATTACCTCACAACTAAAATAACAACTTCAGTTATCTACCGCACTAAAAAGTGAAGCTGTGTTTCGCAGCATGTTCTTGAGATAGGAGTGACTATTCATCAACAGCACGGAACAGATGAGGAGATAATAAGCACATGAGCACTGCAACTGAAATAGAATTCTAGGCCACAAGGAGCCAAGCATTTCACAATTTACAGGTTGGGAAAAGACTATGACAAAATTTGGTACAAGTTACCTGACTGGAATTTTCCTTTCTATTGGTCTGTGCCTATGCCTAGCTATAAGCAGTCTTCTTGTTAAGAATTGAGTTAACCTCCTAACCATCTCTCTGCCTGTATCATCCAACTCATGCATGAACCAGTGAGGTTTTTTGTGCCATTTTGTGCCAAAAGCTATTCAACAAGCTTTTGAGAGCATTGACAGCATCAGTTGCCATATGTTCAGCTATGCCTAACCCAGAACAGACTCTAAAAGGATCAGTGGCCAAATATATGGTCTGTGCAATACTGCCTACTGCAGCAGTGTTTGGGTTTTGTTTTGATTTTTTTTTTTTAAATCAGTGAGTAAGGAATAGTGAGTCAGACCTATTTTCTTTTGATCCTATCACTCACAGGTAGGCGAACCTTGCTGCTCAGGCTGCATCCTGCCCAGAATCTAGGAATCTTAAAAAGGGAACTAATAACATCCACAGATAGGGTAATATGATCAAGGGAACAATGAAATGATTAGTTAAGGCAGTTTTGAACTGAAGGCTGTCACTCTGAGGATTCAGAATCATTTACTACCAAGTGCTGCACTTCCACTGAAATTATACTACTTAATATAGAGACCTAAACTAAGTTAACTAAATGATGATAATGTTTCTTATGGTCAACAGACCAAAAAGCAGTGCATTAGCTAGAACCTACTTCTGTGCTTCGACAGAAGATAGCCTGGGTTTTCTGTTTCAATATTCAGTTTCTCCACTGCTTTTTACTCACAACTGCAGTACTAAGGTACTCACAAAACGTGCAGTCCATCAAAGAACTAGAACCATCTTCTTATGTTCATACTAATGACCTTAGATGGCTGCCTCCAGTAGTTAGCCATCTTTAAGAACTATGTTTCTTTTGAAAGGTAATTTCTCTTTTCTACAGAGCAAATAGAGTTTGTTCTTGCATACACTGGTATGCACTGATAAAAAACCCACTGATTTAACATTTTAGGCAACACAGCCATGATGTAATCTATCCATAAGAATAGTGTAGAAGTATAACACAATGATATGGTTGACTATTCTTCCTTTAACAGGTATACATCAGGCATCTCAATGTAGCAAGAATTACCACTTCATCTGTGCTAACATGCTCTGTCATAAAACCACATGGATTCCAAAAGGCCCATTCAGCCTATGGTCAGTGGCTATTCTTGTCTCCTAAAGTACTGAATCCCAGCCAAATCTAAGACCTAGCATAGATTTGGTCCAAAACACTGCATCTTATGACAATGTTAGTTCATGCTTCTTGTTGACTGTCTTACATATCTTATAGATTATATTAGAAGACTGATAGAAAACAAAGATTCTCCTGATTGCTCAAGCTAGTTCAAAGCAGTGGCACAGAGGTGAGAGCAATCATACTAGTAACTCTTGAGTCACTTAGACACTCCTGAGAACACTGAGGTTTCATCTCATTTGAGTTCCTCTTATTTTTCTTACTTCCTAACTCTTATGTCCTTGTTTATGAAGTCTGTCTGGGTTTCAGTGTCCAGCTGTTTTCTCACGACACAGAAAGAAGGCTGAGCTGAGAAGGCCACTTCAGTCACCTGAGCCAGATTACCTCAGGTTACACTGAAGCACAGGGAACATTATAAGGAATCAATACAACACTGCTTAGAACACTGAGTACTAGCAGGTGATCAGCTGATTTGAATTTCTCATGTAAAAAGTAATCTAACATTAAAGTCTTACCCAGGCAGAAATTTGCCAGTCTTACCCAGGCAGAAATTTGCCATAGCATTTCATGGGTATTTATATATGCCATCAGGCATTTATCACATTTCAGTAGTAGGATCAAGCTGAATAAAGAAATTCACAGAATCCTAGAATGATTTAAGTTGGAAGGGACCTTGAAGCTCATCCAGTTCCAATCCCCTGCCACAGGCAGGGACACCTTCCACTAGAGCAGGTTGCTAATCAAGCTGCCCACTAGACCAGGTTGCTGCCAGGCCCATCCAACCTGGCCTTGAACACTGCCAGGGATGGGGCAGCCACAACTTCTCTGGGCAGCCTGTGCCAGCACCTCAGCACCCTCACAGGGAAGAACTTCTGCCTAATGTCTAATCTAAATCTTCCCTCTGTCAGCTTAAAGCCATTTCCCCTTGTCCTGTCCCTACAGGCCCTTGTCAAAAGGCCCTCTTCCAGATTTCTTGTCAGCACCTTGAGGCACTGGAAGCTGCTCTGGGGTCTCCCCAGAGCCTTCTCTTCTCCAGGCTGACCAAACCCAGCTGTCTCAGCCCATCTCCAAGCAGAGATGCTCTAGCCCTTGCAGCATCTCTGTGGCCTCCTCTGGACTCACTGCAACAGCTCCTCATCCCTCATGTTGTTGTCCAACAGCTGGACACAAGCCTGGAGGGCAGGTCTTATGAGATCAGAGAAGAGAGGGAGAATCAACTCCCTTGACCTGATTCATGCTTTATTAACAGAATTGAAGGAGAATCTGAAGTAATTTTAGTTCATACATAGCCAATATACATTAAGGATAAAAAAAGAACACAAAGAAAATGTATCAATCAGTCTTCCACCTTTTGTTGCTTAATGACATCGAAAGTTTTCTGTAAGTATCTTGGTAAAATAGCTATTACAGAGGTCTGGAGTAAAACAGTGGAGCTTTGTGAATATTTAGAGACAACTTGTAATTTCAGAGCTAACACAAGGGAAATCACAGAGATCCTTATTTGCAGGCAGAAACAGGTGGACTACATTATACTGAAGATTTTTATTTTTTTTTTAATTAACGAAATGAGGAAGAAGGAGTGAAAGTTAAGAGACATTTTAAATACAGGTAAGACTGCAGTTATGGAACTGGAAACTAACAGATGGCATGAAATTCTTTCACATTCAAGCAAGATTCTGATCCATAATAAGTATTTTATAAGATGCAGAATTAGAGAATATGAACAATGGTGCAGTTTCTCTCTGGTTTTGCATCCTGCAACTCTTGTATTTCTCCCTTTTCTGCATACGTAGGGAAAAAGGAAGAGCAAGGAAAAAATATATTTAAGTGGAAAAGCAAGTGAGAAGTAAGTCAGTTAAGATTATTAAGAAGAATATGGCCTTAGAATGAAAATG